AAATAAATAAATAAAATCTTTAAAAAAAAAACAAAAAACAAAAACAACCCAGTTTTATGGTGACATAATTCACACATCATACAAGTCACCTGTTTAAAGTATACAAGTCAATGATGTTTAGTATTTTCACAGATTTGTGCAACTATCAACACCACCTAATTTTAGGACATTGTCATTGCCCCCAAAAGAAACTCCTTATTCATAATAGTCACCCAACCTGTAGTCACTGGCGACCACTTATCTACTTCTTGTCTCCGTGGATTTGCCAATTCTGGACATTTCATATAAACAGAATCACACAACACGTAGTCTTTCATGGCTGGTATCTTTCACTTAGCAGTGTTGTCAAGGGTCATCCATGTGGATGGGGATGAAGGAAGGCACTTGTGGTGATGAGCACTGGGTGTTGTATGTAAGTGTTGAATCACTAAATTCTACACCTAAAACTAATATTACACTGTAGTTTAACTAACTGGAAGTTAAATAAAAACTTTTTTTAAAAAAAGGGGGGTCATCCATGTTGTATTAGAACTTTCTTTGTATGGCCAAATAGTATTCCATTGTAGAGATACACCACATTTTGTTTATCCATCTGTTCACTGATAAACTTTTGGGTTGTTTCTACTTTTTGGCTATCATAAATACTGCTGTTATGAACATCCATGTGTAAGTTTTGTGTGAACACATGTTTTTATTTGTCTTGGGTATACACCTTGTCCTTTTTAAGGACAGGAGTGACCTGCTCAGCTGAGGGTTTCAGTACATGACAGCTTGGGGCAGTGCTTCTCATTCCTCTGCCTCCACACCATGCCCATGTCCAGAACACTCCATCATCAACTGTACTCTCATGATTCCCTTTTTAGATAGTGGTGTGGGGGTAAGAGGTGGGCTGTATAGTTGGAAATACGCTCTTCCTTACATGCTAGCATCTCTTTCTCTTGTCCCACAATTGAGAATCTTGCTAGAGATGGATATGAGCAGAAATAAAGACGTGAATTAAACTATTATAACAATTTAGGCCACGGGTGAGGTGAATTGGAACCAGGGCAAGTTTAGAAGGGATGACTTGTTGATTCTGAACTATTATCCTTAGTATCTCATAATCTTCTTCTACCAGTCTCCAACTATACTGCAAAGGCAAAGTAATATAGAGAGCAACCTTCTCTTTGGTGTGAAATATTATTTTTCTTTTCTTTTTTAAGATTTTATTTATTTCTTTGAGACAGAGAGAGAGAGTAAGAGAGCACAAGTGGGGAGGAGGGTCAGAGGGAGAGAGAGAAGCAGACTCCCTGCAGAGCAGGGAGCCTGATGTGGGGCTCAGTCCCAGGACCTGGAGATCATGACTTGGGCCGAAGGCAGATGCTTAACCAACTAAGCCACTCAGGTGCCCCGAAATATTATTTTTCAATACTGATCCTCTGCTGAAGGGAGAAAAGCTACAGAAAAGCACAGCTTCTCAAACTTTTTCTGCAAAACCAAAAGCCACCCTGAGCATGGCTCATGGCCCCCTCATTTTAACGTTAGCTTTTTCACTTTGTGACACTTGAAATACAAATGATTTCTGAGACAAATTATTTTTTGGTAATTTAATGCAAGATTGCCATGTGTTGTGGTCCGGTCTGCTAAAAGTGGGAGAAATGAGAACATTGGTGTCTGTGTTAGTTTCCTGTGGCTTTTGTAGCAAATTATCACATTCATGGCTTAATGCAACACCAATGTATTCTTTTGCAGCTCTGGAGCCCAGAGGTCTAAAATGAAGCTCATCAGGCAAAAACCAAAACCTTGACAGGGAGCCTAGGGGATAAACCATTTCCTTGCCCTTCCAGTATCTAGAGCCACACTACTGTGTTCCTTGGCTCATGGCCCCTTCCTCTGTCTGCAAAGCCAGTGATATGCATGTTTTCTCTCTGACTCTGCTCTGTTCTGTTTCTGTCACACGCCTTTCTTCTCTTCTACCAACTCTCCCTTTGCCTCCCTCTTATAAGGATATTTATGATTGCATTTAGGACCCACCCATATAATCCAGCATAATCTCCCCACTGGAGATCCTTAACTTAATCACATCTGCCTAAACTTTTTTTTTTTTTTTTCCTATATGACATTCTCAGGCTCTGGGCATTAGGACCTGCATATCTTTGGGGACCATTATTCAGCCTGCCCCAGTATCAAATCAGCAGAAAAGAGGCTTTGCCCTTTTCACTACTTCTGGATCCATTCTTGTGCATTAATGAACTGATTTATGGAAAAGAGAAGCGTACTTGGAAAAGCATACATTTCGTGGCATCCTTTTGCTGGGCAGACTTAGACACTTGTACCATCATGCTAGGAGGCCCCGAAGCAGGAGGCCCCGGGTCCTGCTGCTGTGGCCACACAGCTCAGCAACTCCTGCTGTCCCCACACCTTGTGAAGTGGCCGGGAAGCAGCTCCAGACGCCAGGCCAGACACCTTGCTTCTAAGTGCCTCCTTCAGCTGCCCCACATCATGAAATCTCTCCCAGCACTTCCACACATCTCTGTTATCTCTTTTCCATATTGATCTCCGAATGCTGATCATGGAATTGGCCTTATATTAACCAGAGAGGCACATATTCGCCTGTGTGTGTATGTGTGTGTCGGCGTGGGGGTGGGGGGCTGTAAGCCTAAATAAGACAGAGTTTAGTGTGCATAGTGTCTAGACGACTTCTACCAAAAAGGTGGCCAGCTTCCACATCCACTCCATTTAGTTCAGTTTGATAAGCAGTGCCCTGAAATAGGTAACTCAGGACATAGAAAGACAAGTAAGATGAAGTGCCTCTACTTTGAGAATTTCAGTAGGACAGAAAGACGTGCACAACCAAACTCGTGAGGAGACATACACCACACGAGAGGTGTGGGCTGATATGGGGGTATTACTCGTGGTTGGGGTGAGCTTGGGTCAGGCAAGACTCCTTGGATGTGTTTGATGGGCTAGGACTGGCCCACAGATGGGATGAGGGTGTTCGGGGAGGACACAGAAGGTCAGGACACAAAGAGAATTCCAAGCCAGGGAGCTGGGAGATGAGTCAGAGAGGGAAAGGCAGAAAGCAAAGCAGGCTTGCATGAGTAGAATTTCTGTATTTGATGGATTTGGTTCTGAAATTGCTAGCAGGTGGAAAGTTCTGGAAAGTAGATATAAAGTTAGGCCCAGAGCATAGAGACTTGGGTGAGACTAGAGATTAGAGAAGTGGAGATTATCCTTAGAAGGTCACCACTGATGCCATGGATGTGGACAGTATTACAGAGGATATTACCAAAACAAAAGTAAGGACCACGGCAGACTACTTGAGGGCACAGAGGGCACCGAGAAAGTCACAAGAGAAGTAAAAAAAGCAAAAAGTGACAATGGCAGGAGGGAAACCAGGAGCCTGCACTGTGCAGGTGGCCAGCAAAGGGAGCATTCCAGAGTCCCCTGTCTCTAGCAGAGGCAACTGCCATAAAGCTGACCTTGTCTCTTTGTATCTATCCTTTGTGCTGCAAGTATATCCAAATGCCACGCAAGATTGTCATGAAACGTGGCAGGTTTGACAGAAGGCTATTTGGGCAGAAAAAGTTAACGTGTACAACTGAGTTGAGCTGGCGAAGCCCTTGGAAGCCATGATGGTCTTTGCACTATGACCTATCAATGCATTTAATTCTAACGTTTATACTAAGAACAACCTTATTATTGGAAAATAGGACCAGATTCTGCAATCAGATAGAAGATCATAACAGCAAGCACATGTGTCCATGAAGCAATCAAACAGTCCAGTTAAGTGGCTTGACCGTTGCTGAGATTATTTGTAAATCTTCACGTGCTAATTGTTCAACCATGTTCATATCTTCTTGCAGATATAAACCAAAAATGGAAGCAGAGACTAAAAGTTTAAGGAAAATGATTGGAGGAAAATAAACCCCAATTGAGCACATTTGGCTGTCACTGTGGTGAGCTGAACAAGGCCAATTCCGACATTTAGATTTGTCCGATTCTTTCTAGTGACTATCAGTTACCTCTAAAGATAAGAAGTTGGTAGAAGTTACTTGCTTCCTCCTAGGCAACCTTGCTATCAGGTGTTATTATTTTTTTTTAAAGATTTTATTTATTTATTTGACAGAGAGAGAGGCAGAGAGAGAGGGAACACAAGCAAGGGGAGTGTGAGAGGGAGAAGCAGGCCTCCCGCGGAGCAGGGAGCCCGATGTGGGGCTCGATCCCAGGACCCTGGGATCATGACCTGAGCTGAAGGCACACGCTTAACGACTGAGCCACCCAGGCGCCCCGTCAGGTGTTATGTTTTAATTAAAGCAAATTTCAGACAGAATTCTGCCCGATGTTCAGCTATTCATTAACAAGAAGGCACAAAAACATGCACTAAAGCATGGTCCAAGTTCCAATTTTGTGGGTTTTTTTTTAAGCACTCTAACAAGCGCATTGCATAAAATGATTTCTCTGAGACAAATACAACAATATCCTCATGATTGAACCAGTCAACCTTTTAGTCAGATCAGTGCAGGGACTCTTCATGATGGGTTGAGGGGAGGGGAGGAGGCACCTGTTCTGAATGAGTTCTAGAATTAGGGTGCTCTAATAAAAGTACTTGGCTGACTCTATAAAAGGGGGTGAAGTACCTGTATATCATTTCTAACTATGACAGTTCTTGAATACCTCTTATTTCCCCAAGTATAAGTTGTTCCTATCATCCCTCTGGAGCAAATTCAGATGTTAAGAGTTGAGGCATAGGTCTTTGAAGTATGGACCACTGATCATGGTATTTCAGATATTACCTCAGCATCCCTAGAGCATAAACTAAATTGCATATACACATCTTCATGATACTGTCTAAACTAAAGCATATGAAGGTAAATTACAGAAAATATAACAATTATCTTACTTTTTGCATGCATAGGGAAAAAGCATATGTGGCAGATTGAATAATGCCCCCAAAGATGTTCATGTCCTAATCCCTAGAGTCCGTGAATATTGCCTTCTATAGCAGAAGAAACTCTGCAGATCTGATTAAGTTAAGCATTTCGAGATGGAGACATTATTCTGGATTATCTGGTTGGGCCCGGAGCATGATCATGAGCGTCCTTCTAAGAGGGGGGCAGAAGGAGAAGAGTCTATGGAAGAGGTGATGTTATGGTGGAAACAGGGATGGAGTGGAGGAAGATGGAGGAAGGGTCCCCAAGCCAAAGAATACAGGTGACTACTAGAAGCTGAAAAAGTCAAGGAAACAGATACTCCCCTCGGAGGCTCCAGGGAAAACCAGCCCTGCCAATACCTTGACTTTCGCCCAATGAAACAGATTTTGTACTTCTGATTTCCAGAACAGTAAGAGAAAAAATTTATGTTGTTTTGAGCCACTAAATTTGTGGTAATTCATCACAGTGGCAATAGGAAATGAATATAGCCATCAATATTAATGTCAGCAGAATTTTGGTCCAGCTCATGGAAGTTTCCATCGGAGCCGTTCTGAAAACCCTTGGCGTACATGGCTGACACTTCTTAGGTTATTAAAAAAGACCCTGTGTTGCGGGCCATGGAGAGGAGGAAAGGAAAAAATGGGGCAGGTTTTAAACCATTTTTAGGAACAGACTCAAAATCAGTCCCTGAATCTGTAAAAAGTAAATCATTTCTCTGCCTCTCACTGGGCACCATGGGACTGGATCACCATTTGAATGAAAATCAAGAATAATGAAGCCACATTGTTCCATTTAAGCCCATTAGGACTGTATTCTGGCCAGGTACCAGGTGAGCCTGGGCTACACTCCAGCGGAAGTCTCGCCCACTAACACATAACCTACGCATTGATTCTATTCCCAACCGAATGGGCTACTTTAACTGAACAAGCATTATGGCACCTTAGCCCACGTTAGAAAAGGCTAACATCAAAATGGGACATTAAGTTAGAGGAATTCAATTCCACAAAGGAAAGGATTTTTAGAAACTGGAGGCTCTTGATTTTCAGGCTAGAGATGGAGAAACTGCTTGGCTTCTACTCTGAGCCAAGACAGAACGGAGCAAAGAAAGTCAGCAGAGTCTTTGGAGGAACTGCCTTTGGAGAGAATTACTGTTGAAAGCTTCACTCTGAAATCAAATACAATCAGAGGAGTTGGGGAAGGATTGCAAAAGCCTTGGTTTTATCATTTACATACTTGCCCCCAGGTTATTCTAGCAATTTCCTAAAACTATGTCTAGCTCTCTCATTACCTGGCTCAGTCCTGTGCACACAGGCACACCCTCAATGGCAGTTGCTAGTTATACCAGGAGAATGTGATGATGGGAACTCAGGAGGAAGGGGACAGGTGCCGAAATGCCGGACCATTGCATTGTTCTAGGGTTCTCTGGATAAACACTTTCTATCTACATGGTCAATTATATGTACTCCATAGGCCACCAGGAAAATACCATTTTCCTTCTAAAGTGAATTAGCTGTGTCCATGAAGCCTAAGAAAATAATCCCTTTCAATACAGAAGGGTTCCTGGATTTGAGGCCAAATACTTAGATAACTATTCAGGCAGGTCACCATGGCTTGCTAACTCTGCCATTTACCCACTAAGTCAACATCTTAATACAGCACTGGCTTCTTTCTTCGAGCTGCTTTTCATTCGAAGGCCTGCTTCAATAATCCTGTACTCCCTACCTTCAAAATTTATATTCTTTTATATGACAGTAAAATTATCAACATCAGAAAATTATCATTGCTACACTGTTTATGGACCCTATTCATTTTGCTAAGTGTTCTATTAATTCTTTTTACTTTTTAAAATACTTTTTTTATTCTTTAGTAAGAGAGTATTTATATACAGAAAAATTCACCCTTTTAAGTGTATAGTGTTAGGAGTTCCAGCAAATGCATAGAGGCCTCTAATGGTCTGGGCTAAGGAAGATTTCCTGACCCTTCCTCAGTAGTGGGACATCTCCTTTCCCAAGTAGTGGGACATCTCGAAAGGTCTGGGATCCATGCCTGCAAGTTTTTTCTGTTTCCTTTCCCCAGCTCCCATGGGTCATCTGTGCCCTAAAGCTGACTGTTTGCCGTACATTTCCAGCAGCTTAAGATTTTTGTCCTATAGGAGGCTTTGTGCCTTTCGCTGGGGGATTAGCTTCTTCCCTCCCCTGGACCTAAACCACTGCGGAAGCTTTGGGACTTGCCCTGTCCCCAGTCTCTCTTATGAGCACTGGTGAGGTCCCCAAAGGGCCCATGAGTGGGTATAAATTCCCCTGTGCCTAAGTTCTCAGGGGTCTTGTCCTCTCACACAAGCCCACACTCAGCCTTTAGCAATTAAGAATTTTAGCTGAATTCTTCTTACCAGCTTGTACGACATCCAGTGTTTCCAGCAAGTAAGTAAGTGCCCATGTCCTGTCTCTCCTTAGAGGATCCTTTGTTTCCTTAGATTTTGAGTCACGTGGTTGTCCTGTGACCACAGTTCTATGATGCACTCAAAAAAAAGTTGGGCTTTCATAGAATGGTTAGCATTTTTTGTTGTGGATTTAAGAATAAAAGCAGCCTTTTCTAGTTTCTATACCCTAAAGGGAAGGCAGAAGTCCATTTTATAGTTCTGGATCATCTGTGAATTTGATTTCTTTCCTTACTATACTGTAACTATCTGAAAAATGAAAATAATCACATCTGCAGCAGGATGGATCTAAGGGGAGATACAGTGGTCGAGAAGCTGGGTTTGAAATTTGGATTTAATTATACCTTCATATAGACAAGTTCTCTCCTGCAGCTGCTTCTGACCCAGGCTGAAATAATTGTGTCTCCTCTTCCTGACACTTGTAAGGAAAAAAGTATAATTGGGTAGCATTCACCTCTGCAAAATTAAAGAGTTTGCTCGCTATTAGTCAGATAGCACACCCTGAAAGTTGTAGGAAGACTTCCAAGTATTTTGAAGGGAAACTGACAATTAAAAAGAAAAAAAAAAAGGCTTTTGTAAAGGGAAACGCAGCTGCCTGGAATAGCTACAGTGCGAACAATTATATAGAAAATGTCTATAATGTGAAATGATGCAAAATAAATTCCTGACCAAGGAGCTGATCCTAACAGGCTAAGTGGCTACTTTGAGGTCTTCCCCTTAGGGCACAGCAGTGAAGCCATGGTAGATTTTAAGTTTGCTAGGAAATTTGTTAATTTCTTAAAGGAAGCTAGTTAGTCACAAACATTTATTCGACATCTATATTAGCTGTTGTAGGATCCAAAAGGTTGTAAAAGAAACAATTATTCTGAATAATTGTCAGAACGGTGTCAAGTTCTTTCTGGACCTACTTTGTCTGAGGGGACAATTCTCAGGGACAATTCACCATCACACCCCAGGCTCAGCTGCTGTTTGTCACTCCGTTCTGTCCTGTGGGTGGGGACAAAGCCAGCGATACAGCCCCTCCTAGTGCTCTTTTATGAACCTTTAATCCCCTTTCACCTGGCTGCAAAACCTCCTGACCCCCCAACTCAGGTCCCAGGGGTCTCAAGAATCTCCCTGACAACCTCACATCACCTTTCAACCTGGTCAAATAAAGATGTCCTACTTCACCTCTGAAAAAAACCAAAAACCCAAAAACAAAAAACCCCTGAGAAAACAAATTTATGCCAGTGTCATTTACTGACACATCTTTCTTAAGAGGACAACTTTCTTATAATTTTTGTTTTTTATTTTCGTTTTAATTAGAACAGAGAATGGCCAATTCTCAGGCAGGTATCTCCCAGGTATCATCCTTCATGCCACTCTGTGAGCTAGCCACCCAGTCTGTATATAGACAGACCCCTCCAGCCTTCATATCCTAGATGAGGCTGCACACCCACTCTCAGAGCATGGTTTTCAGCAAGTGTAATGAGGTTGGTCTGTGTTCCACATATTCCTGTCTATCCCTCTTCACACCTATGTTAGCTGGGCAATCTTTGGAAACAGAACAGATTTTT